TTCTTCTTCTCTCTCTCTCTCTCTCTCTCTCTCTCTCTCTCTATATATATATATATATATATATATATATATATACACACACTCAGACCAACACATGGACTCAATTCTTGATGCTGACTTCCTCCTTGCATGCAGCTAATGGTTGTCACTTGGATCATTGGTTCAGCCATCATGGTAATCAATGTCTACTATCTCGTCACAGGCTTCGTCAAGTTCCTTATCAAGGGCGAACTTTCAATAGTGGCCACTGTCTTTGTCGGAATACTGGGATTTTCAGGCATGGCCATGTATTTGGCAGGGGTTGCATACTTGGTGATTCGAAGAGATCAGAAAGTGACATATCTTTTATCACCTGAGGCGCCATGCCTTGTTCGAGGTGACGACACACAAGCTGGTAACGGCGAGATCGTTGCTCTACCAAGAGAAGATATTGTAAGCATGCAACTGCCTCAAAGAGGGGCTGGAAGGGAAATGGACTAAATTATGGAAACTCTCTCTCTCTCAGTTGAGTGGGACAAACTGAATCATGGAAGACTCTCTCCCTATGTTCAATGTAAACATTAGCCACTTCTGGTTTTGATATGAACAAGAGAAGTGATTGCTTACATAATAATAAATAAAATCCTTCTTACCTGCTTTAGTTTGATTGTGTGTGTGTGTGAGTACTTGTCTTGGAAGAGAGCAAGCCAACAGCAGAACAAGTGCTCCACTGGTGGGGCTCAGTGACAATGGAGCCTCTCTCTCTCTCTCTCTCTCTCTCAACTCTCTCACCTTTCCAACAATGGCATATTTTTGTATTTTCTGCTAAAAACTTATTGGATCCCGGTGTCAACAATAGCATATTTTTGTATTGATGGAATGTTAACCTCTTGGACTTTTTTATATATATATGTATATATATATAGTTTGTATAAAGCCGAGGCTCTAAACAATCAAAGTAGAGCGCACCTTCAAATGGTGTTGAGAAATGTGGTTTCAATACTGGAAATCTTTGTGATAGCCCTAAAATATATTTTCATCTCTAATTATAGAATTTAAATCTTAAAAAATAGTATAGATCGAGCAAATTTATAAAAACTTGAAAATTTTGAAAATTGATGGTCCAAAAATGCATTACGCAATATTTTCAAAACTTGAAATCCTTTGTTTTTTCTTGTCCATACATCTTGATTTTGAAATAATCAATTTGAGGATATTTGGGAATCAAAACAACCTCTTCTAGTGAAAATTTTGAGGTGCACTTTGATTTGATTGTTTAGAGCCTTGGCTTTGTATAAAATTTTTCATATATATATATATATATATATATGGAAGAGACTATAAAACGCCTATGGGCAAAAATGAACAGTATTTTCGCCCAAGGGCTCAGCGCTGTCTGATTTTTTCGGACAGCGTGGATTAAAGACCACATGTCCATGGCGGTCCGTCACGGATATAGCATGCCCGTGACAGGGTTTTTTTTACGCAAATTTGAAGCAAAAAATATACGGGGACTGCCACGACCTCGTAGGTTCGTGGCGGTTTTTAGGCAAAACCGTCACAGGCATAACATGTTCGTGACAAGGGGGAAATACTGTAGTACTTCACCACACTTTGCCTATAGGCGTTTTTTAGATTTTTCACACATACACACACACATATATATATATATATATAGGGAAAATTACAAAAACCCCCCAAGTATACTATCTATGCAACTTACCCCCAGCTAACATTTTCTTTCATTTTTTTTTCCACAGCCACCTTTCCTAGCAAATACCCCCCAATCCAAAAAAAAAGAAACAAGAGACTAAACTATCCCCTCTCTCTCCTCGTGGCTTTACCCACGACTCTCTCCCCGTGCGTTTTACCCATGCGCTCCAGCAATGCGGAGACTCGCTCCGGTAATGAAGACACACTCCAGCAATGCAGAGGGTCGTTCCAACAATAAAGACACGCACTCCAGCAATACGGAGGGTTGCTCCGGCAATGAAGACACGCACTCCAACAATGCAAAGGGTCGCTCCGGCAATGAAGACACACGCTCCAACAATGCTGGGGGTCACTCAGGCAATGAAGACGCGCTCCAGCAATGCAAGGACTGGCTCTGGCAGTGCACCTTCTGGAGCCACAACGCTCCAGCGATTGAATAGGTCGCTCCGGCAATGAAGACCAGCGCTCCGACAGTACAAAGACGTGTTCCGGCAGTACACCTTCTGGAGCCACATCGCTCTGAGGATTGAATTGGTCATTCCGGCAATACGCTACTTGGGACCGCCAATGAGCTTTTTTTTTATGAAAAGGGCATTTCCGTCTAAAAAATAACAACTTTTTACCTTGGGAGGGTTTTTACGAAGAAAGGTGGTTGTGGGGAAAAAAGTGAGAGGAAAGGTTAGCTGAGGGATAAGTTGCAT